CACCCCCAAGTGCAGCTTAATTGTTCTGCCGAAGGTTTTCCGAACAACGGCGACGATTTTGGTTTGGCTTTGGACGAAGTCCCTCAGGGCTACCAAGAACAAAAGACTATTCATTTTTGCTGAAAGTGTGATGTTGAGCCGGAACAATAGACCATTTCTTGACACGTGATTATTATAATAATAAAACACAACTTCTCAATATCTCACCTAAAGCTGCCGCTGTACAGTGCGCTAACATGAAGCCTAGATAGAGTGAAGCAAAACCGGAAATGTTAATAAACGATTAATAAGTTAAATTAACTGACCGACCCACAAAGCGAGTGACTGACCCAGAGCTATGTGGGGATATGGCTTAGTAATGGAGGCAACATTTTCTTTGTAGCTCGTTGTGCAAAAACGAAGCATTGAGAGTTGAAAAGTGTTGTTGCGCTTATCAGGACAAAGATTTACAAGTTGAAGGATATGTTGGTCAACTATGAAAAAGCTAGTCTGAATACGCACAACAAACAACAACGCTTTACGATAGCAACGCAACGTCGTCAGTGGTGTGGTGAGGTGAGATGGAAGGGTAAATATTACCTGTATCATTTGGCCCATGAGAGAAACAAAGAAAAACACAACAACAACTTCTCATTACCAGAATTCAGACCTCCTTCCTTCACGAGAAATGCTGGTAATTCACTGAGAGCTAAACAAACAAAACATACACAATAAGCTTACATTCAAGGCAAATGAATTTGATAATAAATGAAAGGATAGTCGCGTACGAATATGAATTCTGATGGTAGAAAATCGGACGATATTGTCACGGTAAGTCAATGACAACTTTCTACCTTTCATTCGGGTTAAGCCTTTTGAAGGCAAAATTTCGGAAAAAATAATAGCCTCTCCCGTCGGTGGCAACCTTCACAACACGGACGCATGGTCTCTCGGTCAATTCATTATTTTTTTCGATTGTCAACCGAAACCACTTGAATTACAAATCTTCCCAAAAAGGTTCTTTTAACGTATTACCTGGGTTTACAAGTCTTTCTATCCTTCTCTCACTCAT